GTGTGCGGTCTTTATCACCTCAGGGGTGGGGCTTTCCACTCAGGCAGGTGTCAGAAACAAATCTGGAGAATCTGAATTTGTTTTAAAGCCGCTCCGGGCTGAAAGTGCGCGCCGCGAGCTACCTACCTTTTTATCTACCTAATAAAAACCTACCTCATCCTCTGAAAGGGAGGGATTTTCCTGCCGAGATCTGTAGCTGGAAGTACTGTCTCTCTACAAAATAACAGAGAGGAAGATTCGTTTGCAAAGCGCTTTCGTTATTTAACAAACCCCTCGCAAGTTTGTCTCATGTCATTTCCCCCTTTTTAATTTACAGTAACAGATAATGCATTTCTTCTGCAATATTGAAGTGTTTGACTTCACAGGAGGGACCTCAGAGGAACCTTGCAGGACCACAGACACCTTACAAACATTTCTATGGATATCCAGCTCTTTCAAGGATTCTGTGTATATTTAGTGTTTGAGAGACGAATATTTTTCAACGGTTATAATTGACAACATTTTATACTTCCTCCAAGGTAAAAAGCAATACTAAGGTCTCTTTTACAAACAATATGTCTTATAAGAACATTACATAATGAACTGCAAACAACAGAAAACAACTTGGAATTATTTTTCTTCCACACTCCTCAGCTCTCATTGAAGTCTTTTCAAATCAGTCAGGTTAATACAGTTTCCGGAGTACATGGAATACTGATTTAAATCACGGGTTCTACTGCGGGTACAGTTTTACTTCCCAAAATCAAAATAAACAACATTCTGTGTAAGACATTAAAAAAAACAATCCCCCAATTCTGCATACCAGTCAAAACCATTTTATACTGGGGTTTTTTTTCTACACTAGAAAGGATACATAACAGAAAAACATACTGACATTCAGTCATCTTTTGAGCTGGAACTCTGCAGGGGTAGAATTAAGGCCAACTTTAAATTTTTAAACAGAGTTTTGCTTAAACATTCACTCTTATCAGAGCATCTTAATATATAAAGCTTTCAGCTCTTCTACAAAGAGAATTCATTTGATACATAGCTAAATCTTTTACTAGCTGTGCACAGTGTTAAGAATTCTAAAAATGTCCCTTCCCTTTACAAATTCTCCTTTGGACAAATTTTCTCATTAATTCAGACAGGAAGTCATGCTCCCTCAATACTGTATTTGTGTCTCAACAAAACAGTTTTTTTCAGCCCAACTAGTCTGACATTATTTTACCTGTTAATAAATATCTGATCACAACCATAACTTCACACTTAGTAACTATTTGAAGGTCCCTAAAGACGCTGAGATACTGTATTAAAACAGTGGAATATTTTTCTTTTCTGAATGGATAACTACAGTGGTCACCTGCACCATCACGGTGTATCACATCATTCCTGCCACCAAATAGAATACTGCTTCTGTTCCTATCTAGGCAGGAATCGTGAGTTTCAGGATTCCTGTTGGCAGTAAAGAGAGCTCACAGAAAGGTTGAGGTTATGCTTCTTTCGACACGGTATATTCTGGTGCCTGACAAACTGCAAACAAAGACAGGTGCAGTTAAAGAGAAGACAAATTGCAAATGAAGAGGTGCGTTCAGTTTTGCTAGCCACAAAGCAGATATTGAGCTGGAAAGTGATCATATTTTGCTTTTCTTTTCTTTCTGTGGCACCTCAGTATTGTCCTCTCGAGTTAAGCTGGGGATGATCTGGGCAGAATTCAGGACTATCTTCCAGTTTCTTTCGGACTGTTTATTAAATATGCAACTTTTACAGGAAACCAATATTTCTAAATAAGGAAGCCTTTCTCAGTAAAGTACACCTACAAGTGCAGATTAACCACATCTGAAATGTAAATTGAATTTGAAAAATCCTTCGTGGTGCTTCTGCATTTCACAAAAAGATCATCATAGCCCTCTCCTTCACCATCGACTTGCCAGAAAGCTGTGTGGGCAAAATGCCACACTGCCAGCCTGCTGTGGAAAAGAGTTATCTTGCAATCCTGTGACGTTAAGAGGACCTCTGCAAAACATATTCACATGTTCCACTTCACCTGTAAAATACGAATCCAATCACGTGTCACCATAAATTAATTAGATTACAAGCAATATATTAAACAAGCCATCCAAATCTTCTATGAACTGATTTGTTCTTTCAAACAGTGAAGATGGTTCTGGTAAACACCACACAGTTACCACAACAAAAAGTCACTTAATCTGAAAACCAGTCATGAAGGTTGAAGGTACTTTCAGATCAGAATCAGATCTTTCTGGTCGAATATTTAAGACCAGGGGTTCTTAAGACTGAAGAGATTTGTGAGATGCTGGGATAGCTTTAGAGGAAGATATCTGAAGTTCAGGACAGTGAGGAGGCTGCTTCTTCCCTCGTTATTTATTTCATATCCAGTTACTCTGAAAACGCCATTCTTCTCTCAAAGCATTTTACTTGTTTTTAAATTAAGAGAGCTGACAGCTTGGTCTTCAAACACAATTGTAATTCCCTTTCTATCTTAGCATGCTAATTAACTTAATGCCTCCAAAGGTCTGCCTGCTGTTTAAAATGACCTCAGCTACCCCAAAAAACGACTGTGTAAATATTTCATCCCTTGGGGAGTTGTTCTTTGAAACAATCCGTTGTTGCCAACCAACCTGTTCAATTAAATTGGCTAATTTGGGTAATTGCATAACTTGAGTGCTAATTAGAGTACAGATATTGAGTAGATTTCTTTTGTCATTGAGAAATG